CAGACATTTTCGATCGAGAGACCGCGAAGAAATTTGTTTTAAAATCCAATTATCCTGCGTTTTTACCTTTCTAGGACAGGGTTGATCGTGGTTGTATAAAAGACCTTGCCGGCACCGCAGAATAATAATCAGCTTACTTGAACTCTGTACTGCTCAGTGTGCCAGTGTGTGTTGTTGATAAAAGCAGCCTGTCACTCAGTCGGCTAGAATTGGAGACAGATAGCAAACGGACTTAACGCCGGAGGGGTGACCCTAAAGAACTGAATTGTCAACATTAATGTGGACTTTGATCTTGTTGCTGTGATAATAGGACTGAATCAGGCGGAAAGGTTTCGATGTCAAGCCATCATAGCACTCTGCCAATACGGCCTTAATTAAGAAGAATAAGAAGAGTCAAGCGCCGGGAAAACACTTTTATTTGTCTGGCGTTTCTACATCCGTCGTGGATTCTTCATCAGAGACATGAGCAGAAAATAGTAGCAGAAATGGGTGATACATGCACACAAATTTGCAGTATTTATAGGACACAGTCATGACTGAAACTTCCTTTGCGTGTATCATCCTTTCCTGCTACTATTTTTTGCTCATGTCTCTGATGAAGAATCCGCGACGGACGTCGAAACGTCAGGCGAATAAAAGCTTTTCCCAGCGCTCGACTCTTCTCCTTTATTAAGACCGTTGTGGTTTGTTGTCCCAGTGATCGTATCTTTTTCTTCTCAATTTCTTCCTGTGACTCGCATGTTGGTTTGTATTGGTCTTAATAAATGCCTAAAACCCGCCTTTCTAGGTTGCTACGAAAAGGACTCCTGTTCTTGCTGATTTGAACCACAAGGACGAACGATTTTCACACATATTTCACTGAATGTTTCTTTCCCTGTAGGATGGTGAGTTTATTCAGCGCGCGGATTTCAAAGCACAAGGACTTCCGGTCTCAGACTTGTTTTTTTTCAAAAGTACACTTTGCGAGTTTAGTTTGTTCGAGTTTGACTTGATGTCATGTGCATCCTTCTACTGGTTCCACGGATGCCATGTTTATTGGTTTACCGTTTCTCTCCTTTGACCTCATTTTTGCCCCCAGTACCACCACCACGTTTTCACTCCCCTCATGTCCTCGCTCCTCCCTCCCCTTTCCTCTTGCGTCTCTCTCTCCAACGCTTCCTTTCGACTTGCTATTCGCTGTTTGTGCTAGCTTTGTTTGCCACTTTTTTTAAACACCTTTGTTTTTCGTTCTGTCTACACACAGCCTCTTCTACGAGTCCACTTTTGGTGGTGCGGTTGCAATGACGGCCGTTCACTTCAACCAAACTCACGGTTTCCCCAACTCCTACTTTGGTTGGGGCGGTGAAGACGATGACATGAGTCGCCGCCTTACCTTTGCCCACTTCAAGCTGACTCGGCGTGACCT